TGCAGGAAGGGCGCCTCATCTGTTGAGTGTATAGCAAAACTCTGCCAGGGTGAATTTTGCAAAACATGAAAAAAAATTTTCAAACAGGGCTGATTTTTTTTTGTGCCAAAGAATATGTTTGCCCTAAAGAATAAATTTTTTTCAGCTTGATTAGACGCCATTTTCATTCTGAGAACTTTTGTTAGAACCCTTGTACAGTACCTGATTTTGACCATGATTGGTAACTATTTAAACGTTCAATTCATGATCAGTCGGCGTGAATATTACTTCAATACTCAAGTGGCAGCTGCGCTATTGGACATCATCGGAAGAAACTTTTCAAGCTGTTATTCATGGACTGGTAGAGTCTCCCTAAAAAATGTTCTTCGTAAAACACTTTTTTTTTTGTTCCGTGGAATTCTTTGGAACCATCCCACTGGTGTTCTCTAAAAAAATTATTTTGCTGTAGAGAGAGAGAGTCCTAGCTTGAACTTTGAATTCGTTAAACTAGGCCAGCCATTATTCAAATACATTTTTAAATGTTTGATATTCAAACCTCATACATCATAAATCCCTGCTAACCATGATTTTACATCTTCAGGAGATTCACTCAGTATAATCTGAAAAATTTGTAATCATCTTTATTCATGTTTTTATTGAAGGTTGTGAAAATCGTCCCGGATATAGAAAACAAATGGAAGTATTTCCCGTACGCCATGGGGTTCTTTGCAGGTAAATCTCACCCGCCATAATTCGCGATTCCCGTATTCCTACAGAATTCACTCCATTTTTGTTTTTCAAATTTCTGCAGTGATCGCACTTTGCGTCCTCGGATCCTGCATTGCGGAAACAACCTTCTGCCGCATCAAACTACGACGCGACGGTTTCTGAGATACAGAAATCTGAAGGAGAATAAGTGGTTGATCAGCGCACTATCGAATTTGCATGCTAACGAGCTTTTGAATTCACTGAGTTGATTTTACGGACAACGCGAGAAAAATAAAGGATCACTACCAGAATTCCAGAAGAATCATTGCTGAAATTGACGTCTTCACTCGAGTACCACATGCCCTTATATAGGAGACATACCCAAAATTTGGATAAAAATTTATCCCGAAATAAGATACGCACCCCATCCTAAGAGACGGAAAGTTTTGATAATCTGAAAATTATATTTATCAGAACTAGAAGTTTTACTCGAGTTGTAGTCAAATTGAATGTTAATTTTCGTCATTTGTATTTTTTAATTTTGTATAAAAATTAATCGAAAATTTCCTGTATAGGAATCAAGTATGAGGTGCACCCAAGCTTTAAAGATACAGTTCTAAAATGTATTTTATGAATATACTGTATAAACAATTTTTTTTTAATTCAGTGAGGTTCACCAGAGCTTCGAAATTTGAAAAAAATGTTATTGAACCTGGATGTGATGCACATCCTCTCTTTTCTTCTCAATTCTAAAATAGAGGTGCACAGGGTACTCAATTAAACACAATATTGAAATCATATTTTGAGTTTCAGGAACACTTTCTATCTTCATCAACTTAACTGTCCTCTCACAAACTTGAAAGTTGATTTTTCAACACATGATTCTGCTCATAAAAAAAATGTAAAATTTATTTTTTGGAAGTTCCTCGTTCGAGAACAGAGTATCGCATTCGGAATTCAACTCCGCTCACCCTCAGGAGAGAAAAATTCATGAAGTGGTCCACCTTTTCCACGAACGCCAAAAACACCTGAACATAAAGAAATGATCAAATCAGGAAGCATTAAATAACGATACAGTCTCAGCAATAACAAACACACGGACTTCCTCAATGTGCAAAACCAGTTTTATTCATCACTGCCAAAAAAAATATAGCTTCAACAACTCTTAGCACAATTCCAATGGAGGCGGCATGACCGGCACTCTTCCCAGGGTGAATTCCGCAACACGGAATTCATTCAAAATATCTTCACTCAAGTCCTCAATTTTAGAGTAATTCATCGGGTCAATCACAGCATTGCTCGCAAAACCTTTCCCAAACAAAGCATTCGACTGTCCGCCAAAAAACCCTACTGACGGCTGCTGCTGCTGCGGGATTCCAGAAGAACCACCGAAGATGGACGACGTTTGCGGCGCCGGCGCCACTGCGTTACCACCAAAGCCAGTCACGGGTTGCTGAGATCCGAATGGAGAGGAACTAGACGCTTGACCAAACAAGGACTGCGACGCAGAAACGGGTTTTCCAAAGAGCATTGTCGTTTGTGCTGCTCCGAAAGCTGGTTGAGTCGTGCTTTGATTCGTTCCGAAGGAGGAAGACTGGGACGGTTCTCCGAAAACAGAGGAACCCCCGAAAGGTTGGGTGCCAACTGCGGTTCCACCAAAACCTGAGGAAAAAAAATTATTCCAGTACAGTACATTAATGAAAACCTTGAATCCGCACGGGAACAAGTCAGGTGGTCGCAAGATGCTACTGAGGTTCATTTGGAATCTTCACAGAATTGGACGTACAATACTAAAATAAATCGACATGGATGGCAGAGGCAAATGAAAAGTTTCAAAATAATGCTGAAAATTTTCAAGATTTGAAAATTTGAATTTTTGTTGCATAGAATAATACCGTATTTTTCCTAAATCAAGAAAATCTTTTTTGGGTTATTGGCAACCTCGAAATAGAGAAAAAAAACAATATTTTGGGGGGGACTTCAATGGCATTTGTCCACTTTCCCAATTTTTCTTGAAATAATTTGCCGAGGGTAATTTTATGCGGATTGAAAATCAACTTTTCGTTCGCTAATCAGTTATCAAAAACTTAATTGAATTTACAGTACAGTACAGTATATATAAGCAAGCCAAAATTTCCATTCGCTTTTTTCGGAAATCGTTTTGTTCAAATATTGGCCAACAATTTTATGGTGCACCCTTAAAACAGGATAAGAATTGTTTTATCTGCGCAACAAGAAAAATGCTGTACAACTTCAACAGCACGAAAGGTTGAAATTTACCCGACGAAGTTGTTTGCGAACCACCGAATGGAGAAGCAGTCGATTGACCCCCGAATACCGATTGACTTTGCGATCCCCCGAAAGCTGACGCAGCAGGTTGGCCCCCAAACGGAGACACTGATGCTTGACCACCAAACGGTGGAGGCGGTCGGGCGCCACCAAAAGATGATAACGCCGTTTGATCAGAGTCCATCGTGGAAATAGAGGCTACGCTCGTGGTTGAGCTCGTGGTGCCCAAGTTGGTCGTGCCTCCAAAACCTGACGAAAAACTGGTGGTTTGCGAGAGTTGAGGAAGTGCGTTGCTTGCATACTGCCCCAGTTCTTGTATCACGTTCAAAAGATGGTTCACCGCGTGGCCAGTTGTAACCGGCAAATCTCCTCTCATTTCCCTCGTGGCTGCAATCTTGAAGAAACAATGATTAGTACATAAAAATACGCTGGAAATGAGAATATCAAATTTTCCGAACAACTACCGTAGACCGAACCCACAATCAACAAGGTAACTGATAATTCACACACGCTCATCGTAACCTCTGCTGCTCGTTCACTTTCAAAACATCCATTCAAAAAGCCACATTCCCAAATATAGCGAAGTAAAATCGAAAAACACCTCAAGAAATATCAAGAATTATTTTTCTCATTTCATCATTCTCTATTCTCGATTCCATTTCCATAGTTATATTTTTCAGTAGATGAGTCTCCCGTGAATTTGATACATTTTGCGTCTCAATATGAATAAATAATAAAATTTAACAATCTGAAGTAAGTGAATTTGAAAATCAAAAATTTTAGGGATTTACGAGGTGGTTTTTTCCAAACATATTTTGTGATTTTTTGTTCGTTCGTGCTCGTAGTCCGCATTTCGTTGCTTCTTTTTGTACGATATATATCAGTGGACACGGAAGTTTTCGTTAACTTCACAGCTTTTTTCTTATTCACAGGTTATGCAAAATTTAACATAGCACGTCACAAATTCTCGTTTTTATATAGACTCTCCAAAAATCAACTTCAACATCAAGAAAATCGAAGGAAAAGTCTCAGGAATCTCAAAAATGATTCAAAGTTCAACACAGTCAGTCCCTAATGGCAGTTTTTCCCTTAAACAAAAAACGAGGTCACTCTAATTTTGCTTCTCTTGAGAGTTGAGATACAGTAAGAGATGGGATTATACTTGAGGTCGAAAAGCACTTAAGCAGGTAGTTCACGCGACATCTGCCGGATCCAGCAGATAAAAACTTCCGATGCTAAGTGAAAATGAAAGTAAAGCCAATACCTCAGGCGAAAGTTATTTCTCAAAATTTTAAATAAAACAGAAACCTCAACCCTTTCATCACAACTGTAAAAACACATTTCTGAACTGTGTTTTCTTATTTTCCTCACCAAAACATTAAAGATGCCCGGATCCCGGTTCAATGCCCGTTGCAGCCATTGTCGGACTTCGTCACGAGCACTATTCATAACTTGCAAGAATTTAGGCTGCAACTGCGGGGATTCTTTGCAGGCGTAAGCCGCGAAACGGAGTTCTTCCGGAGAAATATCGATCAACCCAGGGATATTCGGACCTCTCGGGGCAGGTGAAAAGCTCGTCAATGCGGGTTGTATCTTCAAAAAACTCTGCTGCAATTCCGCAGTGATGAAATTCCTAAAAAAAAACAAGTGAAATATTTCAAACATATCACCGCGAATGGTCTAAAAGAGCTGAAAATTATTTTTGCCATCTTCATACAGTCAACCCTCTTCAAGTCGAACTTCAAGGGATCAGCAAAAAAAATCGAGTCAGGGAAACAAGCATTTTTTTCGGGGAGAAGAAAGAAGAATTACTGGAAATTTCAATTGGTGATATTCTAGGCCTGGAATTGCTTCTTCAATGAGTTGAAAGGATGCTGAATGTGGAGGCAGCGGTTCATTTTTTCGAATTAATTTTCCACCACTTTTCAAAACACATAAAATAACATTTTCATTTCTTTTCTTATTCTTGCGTCACAAATATCATGCCCAAAAAGCCTCTAAAAAATTCGAGTTACGGAGGTTTTTAATGAATTGTTCCATTAAATCATTGTTTAATTCCGAGTAATTCCGACAGGGCCTAGAAAAAATAAAGAAGGGAAGTACAATAATCGAATCGACTCACGGAGGTTCGAGTTTTCGAGGTTCAACTGTGCTCAGAATGAAAATTTTATATTTTTCAGTCAGTCAGTCATGGGTTTTTGCGACAGAATTAAATATTCAATGGTTTGCAATGAGAGAAAATGCTCTTTGTGAAGAACTGCGATGTCGAACACTATCACACATGAACTCACGCTATGGATTCAGTGTCCACAGAACCCTTGCTTGCAACTGATTGTTGAGAAACACTTCTTTCAGAGGTTCCTCGGCCGTCGAATGCATCAAATCGATTCGTTGTTGGGAATCCCCCTGTAAAAAAATATTTAATCATGCACCGTTTTCAAGAAGGAAAAAGAAAACTTCAAGGCAATTCACCATAATTCGACGGCGTGTGCTCGAAATAACACTTATCTCCAAACCTGCAGCGACCCTGCGCATAAAATTTGCACAAGACCATCTTTGAAACCCTGGAAGGAAAACTTCAAAATAATTTTTTTTCAATTCGAATAAGTTGTTCAACAATTTTTTGGAAACGAAAGAAAGAACTTTTCTGCGATTAACGTGAAAACCGAACGCGTTTATATTCCTCTTCACACGAAAATAAGCCCGGCAAAAACAATCCAATAAAAAAAAAAGGTTCGCTCACGGGTTAAATTAAAAAAATCAAAACTTTCGAACAATCGAAAGAAAAACAGAAAGCCAATATTGCCACAGATCCAACTACAGAAACCGCTCCAACAATCAAAGCGAATCCTAATGACTACTCATGGAGAATCCCAATTTTGTTTTATATATTCCTTACACTGTGCTCAGAGGAATTCCACCGCATGGGGAAAAAACGCTCAACTTTCGGATTAAGGAATGCTTTTTTTTTCTTTCTTCTTGCAAACATCAAAGCGGAGAAGAGAGCGAGAGGATAAAAACATGCGTATACGTTTCCGATTCTTGTTTCGGTTTTTTTTTCTTTTTTCCTTGAATAAAGTGAGGCCATGTCTCCCGTTCTTGGCTAAAATGCGCGTAAACATCACTCCGGTTGTAAGGACTAACTTCCGTTAATGTATCTCAGGAACAGAACAACGGATTCTTTCTCAGTACACGCCCATCTTCGATTTCAGCTTCCTTGTAAAAGACGCAAATATTTCCCCGCATTTAATCAAGCACTCTTCTTAATTTTTTTTTCAAGCCCAAGAAGAATATTCAACCAAGCTGAAATTAGTATCCGTCCACAATGAAATACACCACGAATGGTTGAAAAGGTTTATAAGCGCAAATTTCAAATTCACGTTAATTTAGATGACCGAGTCCGAATTCTTCGAACAATAAATAATTTTTTTTCGAAAATTCTTCGAACAACGAAAACAAGAATTTCAAGAAAACCTCAGATCATTTGTTCAAAATTTTCTTCAACCGCAGCAAACAGCTGAAATTGAACGGGTGCTTTCAAACTTAGCTTCGGGTACCAACACTAAAGCTGCCATTAACGGAAAAATTAATTTCTTTAAAACTCGGTTTTCAGGTTTTGGGCATTTTCACGGAGAAGCGTTTTGATTATTCAAAATATCAGGTTACACTGAAAAGAGTTTAAATTCATAAAAATATAATTTAACCAGCATCATTTCCATTCGGATGCGCAAAAAGTGGACAGGGAATGGTCAAATATTACTCGATAAAAATGAGTTTGTCCTTCTCTATCAATCCAAGATGACTTTTATTTGAGAAACAAAAGACCGACACGACGCATAGACCAACCCTCGCAACTAAACCAACTCCAGCAAGACAAAAGTTGTGTCCAATCTTTGTTTCACTCAATTAATATCATCGAAATGCTCCAGAAGTTTTTCTGCCTTTCACGGAAATCCATAATTTTGACAAGAAGCGCTATCGTTCGACAAAAATTTCACAAATTTCTGCATGACTATATGTAATGCAATAAAACCAGTTACAGGCCATATTTCAGCAAAATTTTAACTTTTTCCGCTGAAACTGAAGACATCACCCGTTTCAAACGAAAATTTTAGAGAATCCAAATTCTTCAGTTTCGTTTCAAGTTTTCCCCTTTTATGGCCCCCAACATTTTTGCCGATGTGGAAATCAGAATTTCATGTTGGAAAATTTTACGCTTGAACAGCACCTCACAGTTTTACAAGTTCGTCCCGAGATTTTGCGTGAAACTGTGAGTGAAGGACTAGAAGTTGAATTTTTCACACCTGAAAGAATGTTGGCATTCCCGGTTTGTGAAAGCAAGTGTCACAGAAGACTATCAAACGCACTTCACTCAAGACAACGAGTATAAGACACGAAATTTGAGATATAAAATACAGGAAAAATTTTCGGATCACAACAATTACGGATCCAACCTATCGGAATGCACGTAAGGACGAGAAAACCATCTGCTAAAATCAGAGATCGGCGCATATAAAAGAAACAATCAAACAACGTTTCCCTTTTCCAATTTTTTTGCCAGATGCGCAGAACCTAACACTTGTTCTCTCTCTTCCTCTTATTTCCCATTTTTTCTTCTGTTCTCCACCGAGAAAATCCCACATCAAAACTTTTCCCTTTTTTTCTTCAACAAGAACCGAGGACATTCAACGGATCACTGGTAACATCGTTCGTTGAGATCAAAAAAACCGCTCACTCTCACGCCACTTTCGTCGCAGCTCGAATTCGAAATCACCTCCCCGGGAACGGAAACGGAAAAAAACAGCGGAAGAACGATTCGGACGCTGCTAATCCCGAATAGATATGGCGTGCAAATACAACGTGCGCACCACGCAACACCGCCTCCTTCCGATTTCTTTTCTCCACTTCAACAGCGATAAAATGTCCCGCAGATTTCCCTTCTGTGATTTCTCGAACGAGTGTTTCCTCCGTTAAGAAATAGAACAAGTTTAACCCATCTTATACTCTTCTGATTCCAACTAGACAGAAAAATCGGTAGCGTGCGCATAACATTCAAGGCAAACAAGAAGTGATACAAATGCTGTAAAACATACGAAAAATTAAAGATTGTAGTTTTGATTTTCTAAAATTCATCCTAGAACTCTATCAGTAATTCATTCGAATATTGTACTGCAATGCTGATGTACACACGGGAAGAACACAGATGTGGCTAAAAAACAATGTTTCTTTGGTACAGACGAAGTCAGGAACTTAATCGGAACACTAGTCTCAACAAACGTCATATTTTAGGCAAAAACAATGTGCCTCGATTCGAAAAGACTAGCGAAATCACGGAGGAAACACACGTTCGGAGAGAGGACAGCATTAATTTACATCACACTACATAACCCTACGACGGAATGTCATGTAATGAAAACATCCACCACTTCTCACAATCCTTTGTTCGCGGGGGGCGGATAAAGACGCGAGAATTCCGCTTCCGAACAGGCAAATAATGTCCCGCAACACTGATCAAGACACTGCGATTACACCACAATGCCCTTTTTCCATCGAGTCTACGCTAAGCATTGGACAAGCAAGCAGAACGTACAGGACCGAGAAAAAAAAAACAGCTCCAGCCAGTCTTTCTGGGACACTGGGTTTTCGTCCGACAGGGATCTAATTTATGGCCTGTGACGTTGAGTTCGCAACAGCGGCTTTTATTCTCTCTTGAAACCCAAGAATTACGACTATTTCTTCTTCCCAGCAACGTGAGAACCAAACGGAGTTTACTTCATTCTGTTCTCAAGCACATTTGCTCATGATCTGTACATCCTTCCGAATATTTAGTGAAACGCGAGGCAACCAGAACAGCGCTAGAAGAATGACTGAAACCAATGTCCAAGAAAGGCTGGCGTCGCTTGATCGAAAACCTTCTGAAGTATGTGTTTTGTTATATAATGAGTGCTGCTATCAAGTGGTGTACGTTGGACTGGTTCCATCCAACCTCTTCACATTTTTTGCTACTCCTTTCAACAAGATGCAGTCGTTTACGGCAATGGCACAACGATCTGCACATAAGTCACCGGGAACAATCCCTTTTGTCCACGCACGGAGCCCTCGTACCAGTTCTCTTACACAACAGCAGTACAGTAACGTTGAACAGGAGGGAAAATCTCCCCGAAATGTCAGGCAAAAACTTTTCTGCATTTTCCTGCCCATTTTTCCAGACTTTTTCGTCTAGCTTTCAGGGAAGCGTTGAACTTAGCACCTTACAGAAGCCGTATGGAAAAAATTAAAAAACTATCGAGATTGACGCCACAAATATTTTGACAAGACTTTCAAAACAGAATTTGGGATCCCTCACCTTGAAGCCGAGTTCTCCAGGGTTCTCTGGATCGAAGTCGTACAATGCCGTGCAACAAGGTCCATTCTGATTCATCGGGCTTCGAGCCGGAGACGCGGTATTCATCGGCGATCCTATTACAGTGCAGATGAGCATATTAGAATCGCTAGAACGAACGAACGAACAAAAGGGCCAATATTCATCCCATTATTCCCACAAAATAACAGAAATGGAATCGCCACAATGAAGATGAATGACCCGAAAGATAAAGAGTCTACAAGAATTCCATTCGATGAAGCGTTTCCAACGGGATCAATAATTACGATGCAGACTAAATTTTAGCGAAGAAAACTCCTTTATAAAATCATAGGAGAGACGAGCAATGATGAATATACAATACCCTGAACAAGTTGTGTTTAACATTTTAAATAAAAAATATTGCCAATATGTCTGCTAAACCGCTTTCGCGTGCAACGTTTTCTGCAGACAAGAAACCCGAGAGAGAAATTTCCGGATACTGTACTGGTAGAAGCAAAAGAAATTTATTTTTGCAGACTGACGCAATGAACAGGAGATTTCCAATTGAAAATGCAATTCGCATCAATTTTCAGGAGGGTTGAAAAAAACGAATTGTACTGCCAAAAAATAATAAAAACACGTGCTTTTGGTCTAAAAAATTTTCATCATTTGATTCTTCGGTAGCCTGAGATTTACCAGACATTTTCAAAAATCCAAGACATGGGTGAAGGGAAACAAAATTAGATGAAGGTGCAAGCGACCGTGCGTCGATCAATTTTTTTACAAACTCCAAGTCCGTGAAGAAAATGTGCCCCCAATGGTCACAAAAACTTTCATCGAAAGACGAAAGAACAGTTTCTGCCAAAATTATCAGCCACAGATACCAAGAATCTTTTTGTTTTCCCAAATATTTCGTGCGAAAAAACCCATTAGACCGAGTAGAAACAAAAATAGAAAAATACAGAATTAGGAAGAAAAAAAAACACCCACCAAAAGAATCGTTCGAGGCGAAGAGATTCTGAGGTTGAGAAGTCTGCGGAGTCGCCATCGGCGACCGCGTGGGAGATCCGAGAGGAGATTTCCCAGCTTATGAAAGCACCATCAACCACCGCCACCGTAAACAATGAGAAAGCGGGCGAGAGAAAACAAAGAGATCCCAAAGCCACAGAAAAGCACAGAAAAAAAAGGAGAGAAAGATTTGACAATGAGAATCGCACGCCCACGCACCAAGAAATCTTCTCCTCTCACCATCGGAATTCGAATCCGGGATCGACAAGTGCAGATCAGTCATAGGCTTGATCGGGATTTCCTTCTTCGGTTGCCTCTTGGCTTCCTCCTTCCTACAAGACGGAAAACTCATCGTAAATCGATGCTGAGAAGGGTTTCGAGAATCCTCGAAGAACTTCAGAGAGGGAATTAATTAGTTCACGGTGCGAGGTTCACGGCCTAGTTCGTAAATTCATCCTTACTGAGGCATTCATCTCCAACTTGACACACGAACACATCATTATATTCTCTCGTTCTAAATGAGCTTTTTACATGGGTAAAAGTAACGAAACAAAAACATTTACGAACTCGACCAAGTGTTGATGTTAACTGAGCTGAAATGAATATTTAAAAACCTTTTCACAATAACGCCTCCGTCCTTGACTCCAAGATTTCCTTCAATATCACGTAGATGTCTCCCCTAATCTGCTCGATTTTGTAACATCTAGGATTCTCATGATACAATTACTGTAAATTATTTCTTCCAGTAAGATTTTTTCTTAAACCAAACCTAGCAGACACATTCAAATAAACTCAAACCCGAAATAAGTATGCGCAGAAAAGAGAAAAACCTTTTTCAAGGTATCGAAATTACAAAATTTTCGCATCAAGATCTTCAGTGAAGACTCAGGATCATCAAAAATATTCATCATTGGACTTTAAAAATGGATTCCCCTGTAAAAAAGAGCGAAGGTTTGCTTCGCTTCATGCAACTTGACACAGACAACGGTATTTCCAAGAAGGTTTCTTCCACAAGGACTCGGAGGTGGTGGGAAGTCCAGTCACGACTTGAGATGCAAATAGAATGATAATTACGGCATACAGAAAGGTCACGCCTTTTCAACAGACAGGATTACGGTTATCTACAAGAATTTCTTTTCTTTCGCAGTCGACTAAAAAATTTGCATATTCAGCTCATGAGAGAGCCATTTCATCAACGTTCCCTCGGGACACAATAAAAAATACCATAAGAAACGGCGCTCATGAAATAATGAACTGCATAAATACTGTGGAGTACTTCAGGCTTCCTCGTGAATGACTCATGGACTCATGAAAACGGAGACATCAGGTATTTTTAAAACTTCATCATTTTCATGTCTTACAAAATGTAGATTCTCACTTTCAGAACACGGCAGCATGCAACTCACGTCATTACATCATAACTGAAGTATTTTTCTAAAAAAAAAAAAAAAATCCACATACGACGAACCAATAGAAACGGAAATAGAAAACGTTGACCAACAGCATTTACAGTTTAAAAAACCAGCACTAATACGGTACTGCAGAAAGTCCAAAAAATTACGCGCAGTCAGAAATTCGAAATGGAATCCAGTTTTTCGCCCCCATCAAAATCGAAAACCTTGAAAATTCCGCACCAAATTTCCACCAACGGGTGAGAGACATTCGCGAGGTTCATCTAAGCCTAAGGACTGTTAGCTCATAAAATATATCCATAACTTCCAACTTCATCATAAATTAACGCTGACAGCTGTTAAGTAAGTTTGCAGACAGTCTAATCCAGATCAAAAGATGATATTGACGCACTTCGAGGTAACTGGGACATTCGCATGAACTTCAGGGACGCAGACCGTGTAATTTCTCAGCCAACGATCAAAGAATAAATTTATAGAACGGTTGGTTCGTAAGTTCTGCCAGTCTTGAGCTTTCCTTGGTTGAAACTTCTGGAATACGCGGTGACAGACTTTCAAACGAATACAGTATATGAATCGATAATTTCCGTTATAAAGCACTATATTTACTCAAGCACCATTCGCATCTATTTTTCAAAATCAACTGAGAAAAAACAACGGTGCGCATCATAAGCGAGTAAACAATTTTTCAAAATAATTTGGACGTTCAGGTGCTCATGATAAAGTATTTATTAAATATAGAAAATAAATTTTTTTTTATTGGAAATAATGGCGAATGAAATCAATCTGGGTTCAATCCATGTCATTTTTCATTACTTTGATGCATTTAAAATTTAAAAAATTTGCCATTTACAGTCACTGGACATGGGGTGCGCGTCATATTTGGGGATATGATTTTATCTAAATTTTATATCCAAAAAATTAGGTGCGAGTGGTACTCAAGTACTGTACCGTAAATACAGTAACTCATTTAACATTGTGGCTATTGGACAGGGACCTAAGAAACAAATTTGTAGTGGGCGATTTTTCATTATTATGACATTATCCTGTATGGCGATTTCTTCGTGGCTCGATAGGGTTCCTTACGACAACAATCCACGGAAAAAATATCTCCCTTACGACTAATTTTTTCAAGTCCCTCGAATTTCGTTGGAGAGAGTGAGTCCACCTGTATTAGAAAAAAAAAACATCGACAGCAAGAACAAAAAAAAAACTCACGAAGTTTCGAGCTTCTCAGCCAGTGTCTCCAAAATGCCCACACACTGCCTGTGATAGTCCAGCAGGCCCTCAGCAAACGCGGCCAACTGCGAGATCTGCTCCACATCGCTGTCCAGCAACGCATTCATGCCCACCTGCGCGTGATGCAGGGACTCGCCAAACTTCTCCAGGGCCATCTTCAACTCGTCGTCTGACGCCATGGAAACTAAACCCACGCAGGCCAAGCCCCGTTACAACGGGGACACACATCAAACCACGGCCAATGGGTTCAATCATCAGCCAAGCATTTTTTTTTTTAAACGGCAACTATGGGCCTAAAATCAACGCCCCCGGGTTCCTTTCTCCCCCAATCCAACACCTCAGGTAGTGCCCGCACGGAAAACAAACTTCTTGTACACAACTTCGCCTTTTCAACGCATGATACATGATACAGTGGGTACACCGCGGATAATGTATTCTTCATCTGTTCTCGCAATTAATTAGACTGTTAGGGATTCTAGCTTCGGCTAACGGACTGCGTAAAAAATTATCACAAGCAAAAGCTAGTCCAGGATATGGTTTAATGAACGGAATGCGTAGAATCTTCCAGTGACCGTTCCGAGTCGGATATCATTAAACGCAAAACATTAAGCTTCCCATTCGAAAGGAAAAAGTGTACCGACAAGGGAACCTCAGTACCGTATTGACTCGAGCACCAGGATTTTTTGGTAAAAATTAGACTGCACATAAAATTGTATCCGCAAGTAAGACGGCAAACCATTTTCCGTGACTCTACAACTGCAATATTTCAAAAATTAGAACACGTACATTTGAATTTAGACTATAATTGATCCTGAATTCAAGTAATTCTCGATTTTTTTTACAGAACAATAGTTTTTTCTGCTTAAATTGCTTCTGAATTTCCCATTGGAATCAAATAAGATAAATACTTGCATTTCTAAAAATAAATACGAATTTACACCCACCAATGACGCACACCCTCCTTTTTTCCGCTCAATTTTGAAAAAAGTGCGGGTGGGGCTCGAGTAAATACGGTGATGTTTATATTTATCATGATGGGGAGTGAGAAAGTTCGGTATCCCACAGCCATGCGTTGAATCAGTAGAGGTGAATTTCGTAGTAATTTTTCCGAACGTGCGATCTTTTTTGCTTTTGTTTTGGGTGTGTGGTGAAGAACGAACCGAAAATCCTCGGCAGTTGCCAAGAAGCCAAACTCACCGCGTTATTGCGTGCGATTACAGAGCCGACAAGAGCGTGGAGACAAAGGAAGAAGAGCAAAGGGAACATAGAAAAAAAAAAGAACTTGAGTGCTCATCACTTCTCTTCTCCCACGTGGCACTTCATTTTTTCCCCGGTTATCGTGAGGAATTCAGAAACCATCCAGCTGCTTTTCCAAAGCATGGACCCGACATTCTTACGGCTATCAAAAATCTCCCGGCATTTCCGCTTTAGCATCCGGGTTAATGTTCTAGTTTTCCCACAGGAAGGAACGCGGTTTAAGAACCTCATCATTCATTATAACTATAAAAATTGAAAACTTTATTCAATGTGCCCAACAGCAAGAAAATTATACAGTACTCGACCATTTCTTTTCACAAAAAACAGCTCAATCTTTAAAAAAATTTCAGAAAACCTTTCACGAAGATTTTCAAAGGATTTGCAACTGCCAAATGCCTGATCATTGGGTGCACGAAAGTCAGAATCCTAAATGAAGTGTCAGATCATGAACGAGATTCAACCACTTACACGAAAAACATTCTTCACCACTTCATAATAATCAAAACTTCAGATGATGAATAAACTAGGAAAATTTTCTTATTTAAAATTACCAATTAAGGAATGACCCAAATATCATGTGCCTCAGGAGACAATTTTCATAACGATTGAAGACCCTTCAGAAGACATTTCAAATTGTCGACGTCAATCATAAATATCAACTTATTTCGTTACAATTTACAAAATAAAAGATGGAACTGCTCATATTCCTCCTTGCTTCGATTTTCTCCGCAGTAAAGGTTTTTTTGAATCAAGAAGAAAGGATGACAAAAGTGAAGTACGATTACTTAGTACAGTAAACCAAAATAAAATAAAAATAATTTAAACTGTAGATAAAACATAAAAGTTCTCAACCGAATCCGTCCCTGTCGCAGGTACCTTTACATCGAAGTGTTCCGCTTCAGCAGCATAACAATACTGTACAGTATTATATTTGATTATGCCAGTTCATGCCTTGAAATACAGCATAAAGCAAATAAAGCTCTTCAAAATTAAAACAATTATCGCTTCCAATAAGTTCTAAGGAACTTTAAGGGTTGTGTCGCTTACGTTAAAGGGCACAACCCAAGACTTACGGGAGTGCGTTGTTTCCCAGATGGGCACTGTCGAGTAAATGGGTCTTGTAACAATACGTGACGTGACATTAGTATGACAGAAAAGGGGACATAAATGCTCGAACTATGCGAAAGATGGGTATAAATGGGGCTTGTCCTGAGGGCATTTGCGGTCGACCCGAAGAGCCAGGAGCTTAAAGTTAAGTTAGCAATTCGACAAACTTTTATTTGCTTACGTGGTTTTAGCTATGATCAACTCACCTTTGACTTGCTTCCGTTTCTTGCAATCGTAATCCAATCTTCTGCCCTGGAGCTTCTTTCGATGATGCTGAAAAAAAAGAAGGAAAAATCGAGATTGAAATATGTTCAAAGCGTAAACAACCATCTCATCAACAAAGTTTAGGTAGCACGTCTCCATCCAGGAAATTTGATGAATAAACTGCCTCATGTGATTTCCTGGTTCTTTTCGCGCTATTTTAAGCATTGCATCAATTCTTGACCAAAATTATGAAATCTTTGTACAACTTGAACTTGTGCGACATTTCATACTTAATTACAGTGCTATCTTAAATGCTCATACGGCGTATTACACATTCAAATTACACAATTAGTATGCGCTATTCAAAACTTTTTTTAACCTACAGCATATACTTCGGGTGGAAAAAACTGAATAGACCGCGAAAAAATTCTTGAAAGTTATGCTGATGATTATACGTCAGATAATACTGCACCTCATACAGGCCATGTAGGAAAAAAAAGTCATATGCTCGACTATATTGATTAAACGTGGCATCCGTGATTACG